TTAAATATTTCAATCATTGAATTGCAAAATATCTGGCAGTCAATTTATATTTCGGACAAGATTGAATGGCGATGGTCTTCGCGCTGCGCATGTTTGCATGTTTGTATTAATAAACATTGATTCTCCCACACTCCAATGCGCACTTCCAATGGAAATCACAAGTATGAGGTTTGACCTGGGTGCGACTTGCACAAATTACCGCCGGTGACCCCTTCAACGCCGATCAATGACCTGAAAAAACACTTAATTAAAGCTTGATAACGTCTCAGTTTGTACTCGTTGATCTGCGCAAAAGTCAATGTAATATCTTGCGCATGGGTGGCGCGACGAATACCGCCTTTTAACATCATGCTCAGATTACACTTAAACATATATTTTCAAAACATCACGAGAAGTGTGGTTTCACAGGTATAAACCCACTGTTTTTGTCAGATTCCAGTAAATTGTGCAGAATGTGATTTTTATAGTTGTAGTCGTATACTAAGTGTAAATGCTACAGATAGCTGTACATATTGTGTAAACCAACATGGTCTTGGCTACGTAACTGTAACATATTATATGGACCCCTATCATACTTGCACGTTGGCTAACCCCTTAGCTGAGGGGGCTTACAGGTTACAAGAAACAATAACGAAATTTTACGTAAAATAAGTAAAATAAAAGTTCCAATTACAGTAAAAAATAGGTTTTTACACTTTACAGATAAAGCAAATTCCTAATTAAATTTTACATTTTTATAATATTTTTGATAATTTGTATTAAAGAGTCAAAATTGGAAATTGCGTACGAATTACTTTTATCCGCTTACAAAAATAATATCTTTGTACAAATTACGGACGAAAAAAATAGTGGATTACATTTTACACCTTGTTTATGTCTACCAATTTACATTTTTTATTTGTTTAAATTACATTATTACAAAAATGACGGCGGATAGAACAATGGGTCACGTGACCAAAAGTGGTATAATAAGTAGATGCTGCGTGTATATAAATACAACGTCATTTGGTTCAGTTATGTAAGACACATTTTACTCACACCCATATATGAAAAGGGCAACAGAGAACAGATTGCAATGACAAGTACATTTGTTGCGACTAACTTATAAAGGGCAGTGGTCGTCAAGCAGCGCGTGTTCGAATTTCATGTAGACAATGTATTTTACACGCGTTGTGTACGTCATGACGTCCCATGTCGAACAGGACGCGTCGCGACGACCAACGCTCTTTCAGCAAAAATTGGCGTGACCCCTGACATGTGATCATTGATCACCTGACATTCCTGCTGCTCGGACACGTGACTATTGAGCTGTTTGGTACGTCAACAATCTGTTCGTATCTTCGCCAACCAAGGTTCATTTTTGCGCTCATCATCAGAAGTAGGTACGTATATCTGCTCCATTACGTCTGTTGATCCAACGAATATTACTTTAATGTTTAAAATGGTTCTATAGTTAACTTGATTGCCTGCTCACATCAGCTTTATGATGTAAGCGTGACGGGTTAGGCACAGACAATAGTACCTAAATATGGTATACGAATACCTGCGCCTTAGCGATAACGCATATACGTATTGACACGTGTATGCGAGCTGACTCTTTGCTAGATTCGTTGGCAGTCATACTGAGTCTCGGCGACTGAATTTATTTTTGAAGTGTAGAATGGACCGGAAACATGGTAACCTTGGAAAGTGCTCATGGGAACCTCGGAAACACTATAGATTAAAATTACTAACGGTAAAATTTATAAAACGGTTATTACCGTAAATACCACATTAATGTGCCTTAGCTTGAGAACGTATGTAAATATCAGCTCTCATTCAAATTCGAATATTTAATTTATTTTTATTTATTGATTTAATAACACTCACATATCCCCCCTGAGGGGATGGAAAGGTCACAACAACTATAGAAAAATGCAAAAAAAACAAAACAAGACAGGGATACCAAGACAAACACACACGCAAACAAAACAAAGGAAGCCACTCATGTTCACATTGCTTGATTTCCAATCCAGTTGATGTCATAATACAATACCATTTATGGAGTGGTCAATTTGAATTCTAATATCCGTTTTGATTTATAAAAATATACTTTTACAAACCATTTTATGAATACCTTTGTGCCCTTCACTGTATCATTACTTCGTGATGCTGTTCTGTATGTATTTGCGATTTATAAAACCGGTGTCGAGTCACTGTCGTCACCACGGAGAAACGTGCAAGAAGCTTGATATATTAATATTAGCGCCCTCTGCAGTGTGTGCAGAAATGTTTTTAATAAATGCGTTTAGTCACAGTCTCTCAACAGGGACTGTGGTTTAGTGTTAATTTACGATAACGTCAAGAAATATACTTTCATTATATACACTTTGTATTCTGCCAGTAAATTTAGATTTTTGCAGGAGTGAAAATATTGTTTTGTAGAGATTAGGGAAATCTACGAAAACTGTGTTATATTAAATAGACTAAATGTGTCTCACTCAACAAATTATATTTAACATTGGTAACATTTTTAAAATAAAATGATTTGTACTGTTGTCATTGCAGTTATATCACATTGCAACTACATCGAGTACATACTGGACAACTGTGTGGAAATTTGGGTTAATTTGAGTACGTTTTAGTCAAATTATTATTAACGAGGAAGAGTCCCCATGGCTCCACTCATTCTTTTTGAAGGTGAAGTTTAGGAAGCTCAAAATTGTAATATGCCTAAGCGGCATATCCAACTCATATCTGCTCTGGGTTCTGGAATGTTGCAAAATATCACATCACATAACATAAGATCTGGAAAATAGAAATATATGGAAACAATATATTTATATTAATTAGAAATAACAATTACATTTACAATTTTAATTGGAAATTTGTTTGGCCTAGTACTAGTACCGGCAACCTTCATTAGTATTAGTTAGTCCTTGTTGGAGATCTGACCCAAGTATGGCTCAGATATTAAAAACACAGTATGCCCAACTGCATTTCACTCACTTCAGTTCATAGTATACATGCTTATCACTTTGTTTGCAGGTATATAATGGCTGAAGCTATGGACGTGTTCAATGATTTACATATGTTCATCATTTCTCAAACACTCATAACAGCTGCTAAGCTGAATATGTTTGACCACATGAGCGGTAGAACGATGACATCTGGCGACCTCGCTGATATTACCGGTGGTGACGCGAAAGTAACAGAGGAGATGCTCGATGCTTTAGTAGCTATGGGTTATGTGAAAAAAGAAGACCAATCGTACACAAATACCGTCAAGGCTAACAAGTACATGGTGAAGTCAAGTCCGACAAGTTTGGTAACCATGGCGCATTCCCGTGATAAGAGCTACTATCTGTTTTCGGACATGGCAGATGCCGTTAAAGAAGGGAGGCTTCTGAAAAAGGATACTGGTGATAGATTTAAAGAGATAGCCGAAGACCACAAAAAGCGAACCGCATTTCTAAAAAGTATGGATTCTATGATTCAAAACTTCCGTTCACCAGTTTTGATGAATTCTTTTGACTTCAGTAGTTACTCCAGCGCCTGCGATCTTGGTGGTGGGAATGGAGGATTGAGCTACAGCTTGTCTGAAAAATATCCAGAGATGGAAATAACAATTCTAGATTTGCCTGCTGTGGTTGCCGCTGCTGAGAAGCTTGCCAAACCTACTGGTGGTGTAACGAGTAATGTAGCATTTCGAGCAGGAGACATGTTGACTGATGAACTGCCTAAAGTTGATATGATTCTTCTTGCTAGTATCATTCACGACTGGTCATTGGATAAAGTTAATCTTATTCTTAGTCGTACATATGCAGCTCTCAATCCTGGTGGTGCGGTCGTGATCGTGGAAACTCTTTATGAAGACCAGAAGGAAAGATCTTCAATTACAGCACATCTTTTTTCATTGCACATGTCCATGCTAGGGGGTGGTAAGCAATGGTCTGCCTTCGAATTGAGATCACTCTTACAAGAGCATGGCTTCACTGACGTCAAAGTAAAGAAGTCTGATTTTGTGTATGGGGTTGTCATCGCAACAAAACCGACTTAGTCCTTGACGTGTCTAATAAACAATGTAACAATCAAGAATCTGGGAAATTTTCATTTGTTTGCGGAAAATCAATACCCTAAGCTTGGATGTGTGATGGAATGTTGCATATTTGCATTAGTGCTTGACATTAAATGTCTATTGATACTTTTTCATAGGTTGTCAATATCATTTTATAAAATAAGTTTATTTGTGTTAGATACATGATTAATTGACCATACACAACACGTTACACCCAGGAACATCATGGCAAGCATGGAAGTTTCATGCCTCAAAATGGATAAAATCAGGCAAATTCAAGTGTTATGTTTCTATGATTTTCACAGGGACTTGGGAATTGAACGTCCTTGCTGTATGAGTTATTTCTTTTTGTTCAAGTATTCCATAAACATTATACTTTTATATTCAAATACAATTATATCTAAATAAATTTGGGATTAACCAAATCACTGACTGTTCCTTTGTGCCAAGAATGAAATATATTTGCCAGCTCAATAGCAGCAATGCCGGTAAAACGCGATGCCTGGCATTTACGTCATTTGAAGCTCAATATCTATACCAAGTAAGTATTACATTTGTAGTTGGAATACCGTTTTTTTTGTAGAACGTTGATTATTTCGGTAGTGAAAAATGAACTGTCATTTATGTGTATATGCCGATTACACAACATTATAATGCGACATTTTGTTGGCGGCTATGCGTGGTGATCCAAATATTGATACTTTTTTTCCATTTATTCCATTATTCCAAAGCTTTTGACACCGGGGTTATTATAAATTTGGTTGTCAAACTACTGTGTACCCTTAACTACCTATATCATTATTATTTTGTAGATGGCCGAGGCCTTGAACTAGAAATAAAATAAATACATAGCGAACTCTACAGATGGTGCGTGGTAGTCAGGTGGCTTTTCTGGGATATAAAATCCTCCCGCCATGCGATCTGAATGTCTTATCGCAGGTTGTATCCAACGCTTATTAGCACACTTTTCATCTGTATGGCAAAGTTACTGTAACATATCCTACATATAACATCCACACCTTTTCCGAATGTGTTTTGGTTTATGTACTGAACTGTCGTGTGGGTATACAAATTCCAAAAACATACTCATAAAAATAGAAACTCTGAACCAAACTGACACATAAAAATAAATATTCATTTAAACAGCTGATTTGACACTACAAAGTTCACTTTGTTTCCGTATTGCTTGAATATAATATGTATACAATTTCGAAAAACACAGCTCATACGAATTTTCTAGTACTAGCAGTTACTAGTATATAATTGTGAGAGGTAAGTCTGGATTTGAGTAAAGTAGAACGCATGCCCATTAGTGCTAAACCGATTCAACCGACACAGAGCAAAGAAAGTCCGTGTGACATTCGAATTGCCACCTTCCATTTTTTGTGTGCTATTAACAATAAATATCTGAATACCAAAAGGTAAATAACACGAATTGAGTGTGGTTCCTTTTGTCTAAGCAGCAAAATGTAATTGCAGCATTAACTGTTTACATGACTGTAATATAACTTGTGCCTAGACTAGAACGTCACAAGTAAATTGTAATTTAGTAATGTGATCTTCTTGGATATATCAATTTAATTACAGAAAAATATGTTCATGCATGGAATAGGTTTTGTTACTACTAAAAGAGTCTATTTTGTTAAAAATAAAAATAGTTGGCTTACAAATTATAACTGGACGAGTTGTTGATATTATGGCTACAACAGGACCATAATCAAATACACATTGGATACACAACGAAGTGACATAAATATTGTATGTATGCATACACCGTTTATTAAACACTATTTATACATTTTCAAAACATGTACAGCAAAATAACATTCAAAGTACGTTATCAAGGCGAAGGATCCTGTATTAAAATATGTATTTCTAACATTTAATATGCACAATCATGCTTTTAGTGAAATAAAACTATTCGCTGATTATTTGAACTCAATCATACTACAATGATATTTAGAGTTTGGACAGATATTGTAGATTTCAGATATAGTAACTCGTGGAACCCATTCTGAAATCTAAGCGCATTTTCCACAATTTAAGCAATTGCAATTTGAAAAAGGCCTAATAAAGTTACATTTATAAATATTTCCAAATCGCAATCTACATCTACAATTTAACACAAAATGAGTGCTGCTGCCAGTGCATAATCTATGAACAACATACTTTAGTCAGAAGTAAATTCAAATTTAATTTCAGGTTAATGAACAAATATGTTTTATCGCCTATATAACATAATGTTGAAGTATAAATACTGGATAATTAATTGAATTTATTCTTGAAAACACAGCAATGGCCTTTGAGATGCTGATGTATGTGTGTATGTTAGCGTAAACACGTAGCATCATGCATATAGTACGACTCTTGCGGGCGGCTGTTCATGTAATCCAGTCACTATATATTTAGATATTCCACTAGTTACAACACTCATTTCAGGGTAAAAACTCACATGTTGCCCTCTGAACAGCATATCAAATATCTACAAAAACCTAACTGGGGGAAAGTTTTTAAATAAAATCACGTTATTTATGTGTTTCAAATTCAAGAATTCTTCTATTCGGCGGTTATGTAAAATGCATTCATTTTTCCAATAGAATGGCTATGTAGAAATTACATGATTTTATTTTAACAACTTTTCCCTTACCTATATTTTAGTAGATTGTTGATATTTGTTGTTCAGGAGGGTATTTGGACATGTTACCATGAACATTCTGTTGACTGGACTAGTGACATAAAGCAGTCAGTCCTACGTATTGGTCGATTCCACAGTGCATGCAAACTGTATGGTACCATTGTTACATTAAGTAGCGGATTGCCAAAGAATAAATGAAATTTTCTCTAATGGGTCTTCACATGGTCTTCCAAAACAAATCAAATGATACAACTTCAACAGACAAACATGATTCAAAAATAACTAATAATTACCTGAATATTAACAGCTTTGTAGACTATCCCAAACTGTCTTTAAATGCTCATGAGTGATTCGTGAAATAAAACAAGAAAAAATAATGTCTTGATAACTGTCATGTAAATTTCAATTAATATCTACAGATTGGTACCATCAACTAATCAGGTCTGTGAGTCATCCAATAGCACTAATATAAACAATTGTTAACAAGTCTCTTTTGCAATATGAGTAACCTCATAACTTGCCGCTCTTCTCCGGTATAACATAACCATCATTCCAAAAAATAAAAAACTTCTGCATCACAATTGTCTTGGTTGATCGTATAAGCATTTTCACCTGGCTGATAAGTATCTGATTCGTCAGCTGAATTGTCTTCATCATCATCTAGCACTATATACCTGTCTTTAATATCACCATCATCTTCCTTATTCTCGTCATCGGAATCGCACAGTAACGGAACCTCTGCATCAGCTTGCTCGCCTGATATGCCTCTCATATACTCGTAACTTATATTCGACATGTCATCAGGAATATTCGTGTTATCATCTTCTGATGAATGGTCATATTGTGCAGGCTCATCTACTGCATTTGGGTCGTTGTTCTGACTGTCATCTGGATTCACTGGAGTAAGGTATCCTTCATGGTCTAGTTCTGCTTGTTTAACTGGATCGCTGATGTCCTCCGGCACTTGGTCACCCTCTGCAAACGTAATTGGATCCATATGTTCATATTCATCGTTGTCTTCACCTTCATCATTATCTTCATCCCCATCAGTATCACCCGTAGATCCTAATCCTTGCACATTGACACCTGAGAGAGGCTGATAGTGTACAAGTGGCGGTTCACTTGGAGAGACGTTGACTACAACTTCTGTCTGTGGCGGCCTTATGTCATGAATATTGATCCCATTTCCATATAGATCTTCATAAATATGAGTGTCATCTTCTTTCAATTCTACAGGTGAAGGTGGCAGTGGTCTATTCTGAGGCAGTCTCCGAGATTTAGTTTTCCTACAAAACATACAATATTTGAATTAGTATATTAGTATGTGAGTAAGTCTTTGTTAATACAGAATAATACTTTACTGTTAGACACATGTCGACAATCAGACGATAAGCAAATGATGATATCGGTAGTTGCAAAATCGTAGTTGCTCTTAAAGGGCGTTGGTCGTCCCGCAGCGCATGTTCAGAGTTCATGTAAACAAATAATGTATTTTACACGCATTGTATACGTCGCCATGAGTCTCATATCGTCTAGTATTTTCTAAAAGTGTATTGCGAGTAATTCTAGCATATATTTCCGGCACGTTATAGCAATGGGGTCACTCAAGTACATGCCTATCTAAATATTGAAGGACGACGTCATGGCGTACAATTGAAGATATACATGTATGTACTTGCTGGTCACACAGTCAACAAGTACGCAACAAGCTGTCATGGATTAGTTTTCGTGTATCTGTTGACCGACTTATTTAGCTGGTTACTAGTGAATGGTTGTGTTGCATCTGTTATCATTTAGGCTCATGCTAGGTCCTGGACGAAACTTGACTCAGTGATTTGGAACTAATTACCGTCACCATCCGGACTGCTATTTCTGACAGTTCGTATTTGCAGTTATTATATAGTGAACAATTAATAAAAAGACATGACATGCCCAGTACTTAGTGTGATTGGTTATGTGCAAATTGAATGTGTGGAGGTTACGTCCTATGTCTTTAAACTTCTTTGTAACTGGTTAAGTTTTGATACGTAATAAACGGTGTAAATCCTTGGTCCCAGAGAGAGCTCCACGAGGCGAGAGAGTCTTGGTGAGTGCTGTGCAGAGACCCCGATGAGGCAGTTTGCCTCGAGGCATTCTTGATGTGGCTAAAGACTAGCTATTGAAACGTATTTCGTTGTGTGCGTCTATTTGACTGTAAAGCTTAAGTAATTTTCCCGGTCCGGTACCTCAAGCAGACGAGATATAGACAGACGAGAATTTCCCCATGATACGTGTTGGAGGAACCCGGGCAGACGAGAATTTTCCCCCTGACAAAGCACGGGTAGATTGCCATCGGTCCACAGGCAGAAGACAAGAGCTATTCTATATTGTAGTCTCAGTCGGTCTGAGTTGGAAAAGCTGTGTGGATGCATTTTCACTCTACTGAATGCGCTAAGCAGGTTTAAGTTGTAAGTCACTATTATACGTACATATATCAGGAACTAGTTCGAGTGATTTGCCTTTTTGTCCTTATGTACAAACGGTGTTACGCTGTGACAACAAGCAACTCGTGATGGGACTGCAGAAAAACATTTAATACCCCAAACAGTATTACCTTGTTATAGTACGGCAACTCGGACCCTGTCCTAGTAAACGTCCATGGCCAATAGTTAACTAAAACTGAGATGCCGAATAGACCCTTAACAAAGAGTATGAGAATGCTTACCAGATTAATCTGTATTACTTTTAATACAATTCCGGGGCTGCGGGATAAGGACACAGAACATCATAGGCGTAAAGAGAACTATGTCATCGTTTGCGACTCGAGAGATATATGCGATCTACGGGGCATTGTATCGTGCAAGACTAACATGCAGAGCTACTGAACAATTTGAAGGGAGAACGAGACCAGGCACTGTCCGGACAAATGGACTGAACTTGTCATTCCTACTTTAAAGTGCATATTATTCCTATTTTACGATGATTGTAAGGATGAAGTTCCCCTTTGTGGCGATGTCATGAGAATACGTACAGTCAAACGTTATAACATGAAATTACGTCAGTATACTAGTACATATGTCTTACTGTTATAATATTGTATTACAATATGGTTTTAGTTCAGTTCAGTTCAAAAAATATACCCACCTTATATATGTTATATAAATAATAACGAGTATAAAAATGATAAATAATGCTGCCGATGACGTCACTATTATAGCTATCATATGTATCGGGTATATAATTGGAATAACGGTGGTATTTGCTACAGTTTCGATATGTGTCGACAGCATCGATATTGGTTCAGTCACCACTGTCGTTTGCTCAATCCATTCTGTGGGTAAGTAAAATGTCAATATAAATATAAATATGCATAAATGGTATTATAATAATATAGTAATAGCTGACTATTTCAATATAAGATACATATGTGTTGCTAACTGTAGACGAGTTCATGTTTTTAGTGCGATTTGCATGAACGTTTAGTCTAAGATATATTTTATGAGAATTTTTGAATTCTATACACATTTAACTGTTTTTAGGCATACATATTGTGTGAATTATCTACCACAGAGTATTATTAACATATTATTGATGTATACACCACTTTTGCTATTAATTTTTTGTAATACTTACATTCAATTTCAAGCTTTGAACAATAACTTTATTGAGTATCTATCCTGGCTGTCAGCATATCCATCTGCCAACACATTTTTTTTTACGGACAATCACTTTTATAAATAGATCATTCACCCCACTGAATATAACTTGTAATATTAGCCCCCAAAAAGCCGGTCAAAAGCTTTATTTGGTCTTACCATTACACGTGTAACCATCAGCACTAACTGTAAAGCCGATTCCACATATGCACGTACTATCGCCAGCCTCGTTCAAACACAGGTGGTCGCATCCTCCATTATTCTGTTGACATGAACCTGAAAACAACAGACATGGGCTGTTTGAAAAGTACTTTCTTTGTTGCTTTTCATCTAATTTTAATATATAATCTGATCCATGAGCTGCAACGATGTTTGTGTGAACGTATTTCCTTGAAATAGTGCCTTTGCAGATGACGTAAGGTGCAACAATGTTTCTTTGCACGTATTACAAGTGGGTCATAGGGTGCAGCGATGTGCGTTTGTGTATATTACATGTGTCATATGTGGGAACTATGTTTCATTGAGCACATTGGATTTGCTGTGGACTCTAAAGATGTGTATTTTAAAAACATTGAATATTCCATTGGCTGTAACGAGTGCCTCGTAAATCAATCAAATTCAATAGAGCTTACTTGATAGCTTCTTCTGCCTTGATTGATCTAAATAAACCATGGAAGTGAGATACGTATCGGCTGTGTATATGTCGGAGTGCTCACCGGGTGTGGAACGTTTCACCAATGTGATCCTTCCTGGATCGTAATTGCATAACATGAAAAACTCCTGTCAAAATAAGAAATAGTAAATTATATCATGTTTGATATGAATTAGAGTCAAATAAATAAAACTTTATTTCTGAAGAGTTTACAAAAAAACGATTGTTTATTATGATCTATGTATTTATTGTTATCTCACCTGGTCGATATCTAAGTCCACTGTCGATACATAGTTATCACTAATATGTAGTGCAAGAACGGAACGTCCATCTAACTGGGACGACCATAGAATTTGCGAGGAGCTATCAACCCAGTATAATCTACAATTACATAGTAGTAAAGAATTCAATTAGAAATGATATATATATATCAGTATTCGTGATGTCATTTATCAGACCTCGACCCCCCCAAAAAAGTAGCCGTTAATTCCCGTTAACGTGGTCGTACATATGAGATAACTATCCCTAATCGTGATATCACCAGTACTCGTGACGTCACTAGTCCTCGTAATGCCAATACTTGTGATGTCGCCAACACTTGTGATGTTGTGAAGTTACACGTACTCGTGATGTCACCAACACTTGTGATGTTGTGAAGTTACAAGTACTCGTGATATCACCAATACTTGTGATGTTGTGAAGTTACAAGTACTCGTGATGTCACCAATACTTGTGATGTTGTGAAGTTACAAGTACTCGTGATGTCACCAGTACTTGTGATGTTGTGAAGTTACAAGTACTCGTGATGTCACCAATACTTGTGATGTTGTGAAGTTACAAGTACTCGTGATGTCACCAATACTTGTGATGTTGTGAAGTTACAAGTACTCGTGATGTCACCAATACCTGTGATGTTCTGAAGTTACAAGTACTCGTGATGTCACCAACACTTGTGATGTCGTGAAGTTACAAGTACTCGTGATGTCACCAACACTTGTGATGTTGTGAAGCTACAAGTACTCGTGATGTCACCAATACCTGTGATGTTGTGAAACTACACGTATTTGTGATGTCACCAATACCTGTGATGTTGTGAAGTTACATGTACTCGTTAAGTCAACAATACTTGTGATGTTGTGAAATTACAAGTACTCGTCATGTCACCAATACCTGTGATGTTGTGAAGCTA